GTTTTATCACTTCTATCGAGAATATTTCGCATATTTCTCAGTGGCGATCCAGAGGAACACGAATCATTTACCTAGCTTTGCGTGGAACACGAAATTTCAAAATGGAAAACATCGAGAAAATTACTGAAGACCCTGAAAATATTGTGGAAGTAGACATCAACGTAGGTGTTCTCGAAAACTTTGGTCTGTATATGGTTCATAATAATTCACTGTTCAGTTGGTGGACACAGTTGGTGTGGCGAGCATACTACCGAAGTTCTGTGTACGTGACACATTTTTTAGTTCATTTTCAAAATATATCGTTAAATAAGTATGCACATAACTATTCATATGCGATAACGATAAGAAAACAAGGGCAATCGAACCCACTTAGTTTCTCTCTTTAACACACACTACAATCACCGTCAGCAAAATTGGGGTCGACCTGTTCCTTTATAGTACAGTTTCCAGCGTATTTAAACCTTGCACTGTACTCACTCCCTTCTATAAAAAATCGGCGGTAGAGAAGGCTTGGGAATATTTTCGCCAAACTAAGATTTTTTTCTAAATGACTTGAACAGTTCCCTACTTGTAGGGAAATTTCTCATCGGTTGCTCCCAGAAACACAATGCCTGCTGCTCCTTCAAATACGACCCCTACAAAAATCGTAATAAGACGACCCATTCCATTGAACTTTCAATCAAAGCTCTTGAAACTAAAATGAGAAATAATGCCAAAGAAACAACTGATATAGAATTAAATGCAAGATTTCAAAGTTTGAAGCACACGTCGCGATTGAATCGGTTTGTTACTTTTAAAAGCTGAATAAAAGTACGAAGAGAAACGCTAGTGGGCTGAAAGATCAAAAAGCAGCATAGAACACTGAAATTTTCCTTGTGAATACGACGGAGAGACACAGCACAGGAGGAGAGTGAAAATGCGAAAAAGGAAGCGTAGGCGATGGGAAGCAGGCGCCACGTATGCTGCAACTAGAAAGAATAGCAGCGGTTGCAGCGGTCCAAGACAAGAATTAGCTCCTTTGCTGCGCACTTTTGGTTCGCGAAAGGACCCCAGCCTATGTTATTATGGCTCCTGCTATTAGATTGTCCAGGAAGTAATGCGGTTTTCGACCTCCGTTTAAAGCAATATATCTCAACTGATTCAACATTTTTAGTCATTTCAAAACGTACTTGAAACTAAGAGTTTTCCTAAGAAAGACTTATGCTGCATGGATCCAAATATAGGTCGTAGAAGCCCAAAATTCTTCAATGTTCTTTTCCACCATTCTTGATTTTCAAATCTTTCTCTGCCCAAGAAGCTGTGGAGATGGCAGAAAAAGTAAAAGTTGGTGAGAGAGAGACCATGAGTTTACTTTGTGAAGCAAAGCTGAGCAGATCGATTTCGTCCATTTCTTACGTGGTCGTTTGTGCGACATGTGGAGGAACGGTTATTGTACTCCTGGATGCAGATCTAAACTGTTTCCGGTGGCATCGGGTATGTGAACAGACTTGGTACTCCCGTCAAGCTCACCAGGCTCCAAATAGCTGTGATGCACCACTACTTCGAAAAGCTACAAAACCATCAGAGTGGTCCACACCTTGTGTCATTTCCGCTTTGGAAAAGTATTTGATGGTCGCCGCTGTCTAGATTTTCAGAAAATTACACAATTCTGTAGAAAAAAGAACGATTTCCGCCTAGGATGTAGAAATAACACTAGAAGTCGAACATTTCTTTTCAGTAAAACGAGTAAACGAGTGAAGAGCGACATTGCTGCTGCTAAGTCATCTCATGCGGTGCCATTTGTCCAGCTTTCTTACCATCCTAAGTACTTCCAGGGCTTCGAAATTTTTGATATGCTCACTCCAGGAAGTGCTGCTGGAAGCCGTACATTTATTTGGAAATCTTTCCTGCCAGGTTCTCACAAGGCCGTCATCAACAGGAGGACGACGCCCGTCACTCCCTCACTTTGAATTTCGAGTTCCCTACACTGATACCTTCGGAGCCATTGAGTGCGCATTTTGAAACATCCTTAACGCCGCGCAACAATCCTATTCGGAGCTGTCTGGAAGCACTCTATCTGTATTCAAAGCCGTACAAGCAAACTTGCTCAAACCAGAGCTTTGAAGTCTTCGATTCAAACCTTTAGAAAAAGTGAAAGCCCGAGTTCTTCCAAAATACAATAGCAGCATAAGGAAGAGAATGAAGTGGGCTTTCCAGCTGTGTTAAAGTACAAGCAGTCATATAAATTAATACAGAAGTCAGAAGAAAAGATCCAAAAGAAAATGCATGTATGACGGTATTGTGAACCTCATCATTTATCTTCTAGACAATCTGATACTTCACGTCATACGGGTTGTTTGTCAAATGAGTATCGGTGAAGCCATTATTTCCGCAAGTGGAGACGAAGGAGCCGTTACACTTTAAGGCATGTGAGATTCTTTGGAATTCATTGGCAGTGTATGCCTTAAGAAACCGGAAGCGCTCAAAGCGAAGAGGCTTAACGATGAATAGAGGTGAATGGGAAATGTTTGCAACCGCACAAGAACTCTTTAGCGCCATTTTTAAGGCGGGACCGCGAGTAGCGTAGTTCAAGCAGCCTCGAGTAGCAGACCACATCGCTTGAGGTGTGCCTTTTGTCGGGAAATTGCTCGCACCTCCCCCCGCCCTCCCCCCTCCCCGCCTTCAATACCTGAATTCTTTGATGGCATGTATTGCACATACTCTTAACGCCGTTCCTTTCCATAGGCATATGTACGATTGACTGTTAATTTGTTGCCACTTCAAAACGAAATCAGTGGTGTACTTGGAATGATAGTTAACAAAAGGAATAACCAAAAACACTGACAATCGAGACTTTTCCCTGGGCTGTAGAGGATTATAAGAGGCAGACAGCGAGAGAAAAGACACCAGAAGCCGAGAAGAGTAACAAGAATCATAGCCTAGAACGGATAGGGTTCATGACATTATTACTGGACGTGTCCCCGGTGCTGAGCGAAAGTCCCATCTGCATTTGCTCACTCTCATGGCGCTCGGTTCAATTTGTGACGCTATATCGTGTGATCAGGCTTCCAATTGGATACGCAGTTATTTTCCGTAACTCTTGCCTACTACTTCCAGAAAAATGCTAAAGTCTGAATGTGTGAGTCATGTCTCGGATGAATAGAAAAATCGCAGATCCGCATACAGTAGACAGCGCTTTTCAGGGTGCCAATACACCGACAACAACTCTTAGCCCGCCAACGACTGTGAACCCGAAACCGGGTGTTGTTCCGACACCAAGTGTCGTGAAGGCTCTCGTTTTCATTGTGGATGCTTCAGAAGCTGTTAGTAAAGAAGCATGGAATGGGGTATGTCTTACAATGCAATCACATTAGAGTGCTTTTGGTCCGCATGAGCAACACCTTAACAAGAGTTTGGCGCTACTGAACATAAAGTGGAGGTAGTTTGTGACATGATGTGTCATATGCGTCGAGACGATTGTCGACAGGTTCAAATACCATGAATGAAGGCAAAAGCTTGTCATCTGTCTTCGTCTCGTGGGTTTTAGAATGCAATACAGTGATAACCTTTCGAGCAAAAGGCAGAACATTCTCTGATAGTTACCCTCATTAAACCATACGACTAATTGTCTAGAAGATTCTCGTGGATACAAATCAATCTGCTGAATGATGCTACCGCACAATAGTTCGCCCCAAAATGCCTCGTCAAACGGTGATGGTGAGAAAGGTGACGGCACAATCCTATCGTTAGAACCACGAAGTCATTCAGTCTTGCAATACCATCCAACAAAATAATGTAGTTTTGATAACTATCTCTTTTTGATTACGACCAGCTTCACGTTATTTCACCAAATGAAGCACTGACTACGACGCACAGCAGCAACGTGTAAATCTCACAAGAAGTAAAAGTATACCGAAATTGTACAACAAAATCTCCCTAATTGTTCCATGAGAGTCGCCTAGAAGCTAACCTCTCTATAATTGTATATTCACTCTCCGTTGAGCGGACCTAGGCATCAAATATTTAGTAGATCTCAGCCTTGATGCAAAAAGAGAATGTCAAGGTGGACCGCCTAGTAGATGAAAAGGCAGAAAGATACTGGTTCAATGAAGCACAGAGAGGTGCACCCTCTGCTTTCGAGACGATAAGAGATATGAGTAGCGGGAACGGAAAAGCTTTGAGTTGAGAGATCACAGCATATCACTTTACGGCCTAGATAAGATAATGAGCACTGAGATTTTTGGGCGTATTAATCCATTCATCGCCTAGCATCTCAGTGAGTCGCTCAAAGGAGCGAAAGGGGTGCGGCCACTGCAATGGGTACGCGACACATCTATATACGAGAAGAAGTTCTTCAGTGAGGGTGGCCTACCCTTGCCTTCGAAATATGAACCTCTTCCCTCTGCTGGCAAGCACAAGGTGACCCCCCTTATATGTTGTTGCCTGAAGAAGCCGAATAACGCCTCTGATTGAATCACCCATATATAGGATACTGAAGTCCGAGGCTATTGCAAAACCCCGTCACCTTGTAGTTCGGATGATGTCGCAGTAGTCCATGATCCCTGTGCACTGCCGCTGGCCTCATCGCAACTCAGTCCAATGAAGCATTGAAAGAGGTCCATGTTTGTGGAGTCGATGGTAAAAAGGAACACTGACTCGTACATCTAGCAACCGAGTGATGACACAGCCGATTGTGCTCTCAGTCACAATGCCGTGAGAATCTCATGTTCCAACAAAACTGAATGTGGTGTGCAGCGTTCTGAAAAACCACGCCTACCTGTTGTCAAGGAAAGCGGAGAAGCTGAGAAGATGGCATATTCAAGTGTTCAAACCGTCTACCGTCTGTCAATTACTGAGTATGAAAGCTGAGTTTCAGAGATACTTCATGTGATGGAAAAGAAATTAAGACTCGCAGAGCCCAATTCTCGATAACGTTCGTCGATTTACTCGTGAGACAGTAAGGAATGAGCATTTCGAGCTCGAAATAGAAACACTTATTCAGGTTCCGAAGAAAAAGTGGCTAATCATCGTTGGACTGGGCGAAAAACGTGTTTCCTTCCCACCTCACCCACGTTCGGCAGAGGCACCACTACCGTCTTTTTTATAGAACGGTTGTCGTGACTCTCGTCACGACCCTTCCGACATCCATGGTATGCGCCAATAGGACGCCATGCTCGATCACGTTCCCATGCCCCGGATGGTGAGAGACCCCACTCTCACGGATGCATCGTCTGATGGCACGGAATTGTCTCCGCCTGCTCTGCTCAGGCCGCGCCGCTCTAACCAGTACAGTTCATCAGTCCTGGTCCGTGTCAGCGGCAGCGGTCGTTATCTGCGCGCCGAGTCGATCTTGTCGCGGAGCGGTCGTATCGCCGAAGTCATCAGTCGGAACAGCCATCTTCAAAATCATCTCCGGCTCGGGGGATCGGATGCATACCACCTCAACTTCTCGCCTGCCTGTCTTTTCACCGTTCGAGCCCGTAGTTGCTCTATCTTCTTATCGTAGTTTCTCTATATTGTAGTTATGCCATGAAATACTCTAGTGGTTAGTGCCCTGTTCTGTATTAATCTACATATCTGTTAGCATACAGTCACCATGTCATCTAATAGGGGAGGGTGCCTCACCGGCCCCGCGGCAGGATAACAGTCGTCAGAGCATTCCTATACGCGACGCATCCCCCTAGGACAGGGTGGTCGGGCCCGTATAATACCCTCTTCTGCCGTGTCCTCTGTGCCACCGATACCCTTCTTCCACCTCGTCTCGGGGCACCAGGTCGCGACAAAGGTACAGACAATATTATTTGTTAGTCCTCAATGTTAGCGCGTGCTGAAAACATTCTCAGATAAAAGAAAGAGCGAAGTAGGGGAATTTACAGGCGGCAAAACGCTGAAGTGAATACACTAAAAATGTGTAAGATAAACAAAAAAATGAAAGAATTGAGACTAATAAAATATGAAAAAGAATAGCCTACTCTGAGAGCCTGCTGCTATGGTTTGCGGAGTATTTTCATAATAACCAAGCATTTTCAGCAAATCTGACAGGGGAAGTATTTTCAGCAAATTCAACTCGTAAGCAGCGTGGTGAAATATGTGAAATGTGGAATCAGTGGGAATCGTCGTTATTGATTGCGATTCCGACATCCTTCTTCCGAGAGGAAACTACCCAGTGGAAGAAATTGGGTAATTTTCGAATGTGTTCACTTTGTCATTAAATTTTGGAATGTTATGGGTATATGTCAACAGAATCGTCCGGATTCCCGCGCTACTGATCGTGGACCGCGACGTCGCAACTGCAGTGGACGAGTTTCTGTGTGCGTCATTCGAACTTGAACGTTAAAGGGACGCTAGCAGACCCGTCCCTTCAACATTCAACTTCAATCAATGCGCGAACAGTTTCAGTCCTCTCAAACCAATTTTCTTCTTCGCGTGTTTGAATACTGCGATAATGAACTTTGAGAGCAAACTTGTTGGCGCCCTTTTTTACGAAAAAGCCAGAGCAAGTAAGCTAGACTCTTTTATCCGCACCCCACATGGATTTTGCGGACTGCGAGAAATTCACTGCTCAAACCACGATTTTCTCTCCACAACTCCCGGTGGAACATACATCCCTTTATGTGTAATTAGCAAAAGCTGCAGGCCCTGGGTCATGCATGATTCGTTAGTTTAACGTCACGAGGAGAGATCATACACATCTGGTTTGTCTTGGGAGATGAATCACAATGGAAAGGGGGGGGGGGATTTCACGATATGCACGGAGGTTTGAAGAAATGGAAGTATGCCCAATGGAAAGGCAGGCGAACCCATAAGGCTGCGGGGCGGTGCGCGTTCCGTAGTCCAGGTGTTAACAACGGCCTAGCAGATCCGTACGACGCCACGTTTAATCTCGCTAGCGACGCTAAACGTCCGACTGGCTACCAGGGTCGACCGTCCGTTAGACCAATCCTACGTAGGGGGAGGGGTCCCCCCTCCCCCCCCCCGCCTCCCCCCCCCCCCCTTCGTGTTTGACCGACGGGAGAGGCGTCATTTCGGCCTAGAGCCAAACGTCTAGCAATGCTGGATGTAACACATATGCGACTGAAGCTGTAAGCTCAGTCTTACAGCATTGCACGATTAAGAATGAGGAGTTTCTGTCGCGACAGCGTAAGGGGTATAACTTTCAAGTGCTTCTCCAACTATTGACCACAAACGAGTGCATGGCACACTTCAGAGAGTCAGTTTGAAGACATTGGTTCTACTCGGTAGCATATTCGTGTACGTTAACATTCAAAAATGGACATTTAGGCAGAAGAGTCTGCTGCCGAAGTGTCCATTTTTGACTGTTAACGTACACGAATATGCTACCGAGTAGAACCAATGTCTTCAAACTGAACAAGTTGGTAAAAGAGTGACCACTTTGGTAGATTGACTGCTAAAGGCTCTACAAGAAAAGTTTGGAAAAAATATTTGCCTGTTGGCGACTTCCTGAAATGGTTTAGTATCTGTTATGAAGCACAAAGCTTGTGCGATGTCACGGTATCATTATTCCCCATAAAATTGAGTTTGAGAGCTGTGAGTGTTTGAGTGTTGAAAACTCGTGTTTTCAGGAGAGTAGCTCCGAAAATTCATAAAAAAAACGGTCCAACGGAACATTTTTCTGAACGGGTCATTTGGAAACGAGATCAAGTATTCATTAGAAAGCTCTAACCTTCTAGTTTTCTCCAGGGGACAAGAATTGCAAAAAGTTGAATCTGAAGAAAGTTATAACAGTTCAAAGCCAAAAAACCAGCGCTCTGCGAAAAATCGGTCCGCGATTTCCCCAAAACGGTCCAACGGGCGATTTTTTGACTCCATCATTTTTGGATAGAGTTCAAGTATCCCTACTATATATAATTCGCTAAGTATGTCTGTCTGTGTGTGTGTGTCTGTGTGTACGTACGTCCGTCTGTCACGAAATTCATAGCGCGCTTCGCTGCAGGCATGGAGCGCTGTATTTTGAGTATGATGTAGGGGGTGGGACGGGAACATATTTGGTGGGGTCAGAAAGTGATAACGACTGATAAGATCTGATAAGAGGCGCTGAAACGCAAATTTCACGAAATTCATAGCGCGCGTCCAGCAGCAGTGGGGCATTGGTTCCAAGCAGAGTCAACCCTGCGTTGCGCAGTTCGCAACGGCACGTTGAGAGATCCTCAACGCACGCTGTATGGGCGGAGACACAGACGGCTCGAGCATGCGAGTGTGAATGTTCGCGCGAGAGAACGTGTCTAATCGGGCGAAACTGCGCAACGTGGCCGTTGAGAACTGCGCAACGCAGGGTTGACTCTGGTTCCAAGAAGTGATGTACGGGGGCCGATAAGAGCCGATAATTACGATATTCTATATAACG